GAGGCTTCTGTCCTCCATGTAGACATAGCTTAACACAGACATAGCTTGAGTTAAATTACCATTGGGTGATGTTAGTTTAAGATGCATCTGCTTCTTTCCCAGACCCAAAGAAAGGTACCTTATGTCCAAATGTTTATCTAAAATTGCTGCCAACTATGCAACTGGTCCAATAAAAGCTATTACCCCCCAAAATTCTGATGTTTCCATTTGAAGCTATGTAGATTGAAACCAAAGAAAATGCTTGTGAAAACCTTTGCAAAAAGAAATAGTGGTGAGATTACCTTACTCTAAAGCAAGACATAAAATAATACTTTGATTAGCCTTCCAATAAAAAAGCTTTACAAAAATGTAAATAAGCTTTAGACTACTAAGATAGCCTCCTCTGTGAAAAATGCTAGCAAGAAGGCCTTCAAGCCCCATAAACATGTTGCAGACTGCACATGCCACATAACTAAGGACTGTAATTTTTTGCCTCAGGCTCCCACATTTAACAAAGGGAAACAGTGCTTTCAACAAAAGATGCTATTCTAGTTATGTGCCCTTTTACCCTGTCAGAGAAACAGCTGGTCTAAAGTTGCAACTAATTTGTATCATGTCTGCGCTAAGAGTCAGTCTCCGTTTGGATAAAACTTTCAAAGTTAGGCTTAATACTGGATGATGGATGGCAGCTTTCCCCATTCCAAAATATTTTTTAAAAACCTACAAAATATTAAAAATACAAGTGGCCAGCTTTGGTATGTTTCATATCATAAATATTTATTGTGTTATTTTTGATGTATAAGCTGCAGTTAAAGTTTCTCACTCTTCCCTTTAGGATAGTCAGTTGAGCTGGTTTGAAGCTGTCTGACAAGTAAATGGAGCTTGCAATAAAGACATGTGGATACCAAGTGTAGTGGAAAAGAATTTTCCTCCAAAAATCATTTGCCTCAGGTAATTCCTTCCAATTTGGGGCATCTTCTCTTCTAAGACAAATGTTGGTTTGGCCTGCAGGGAATCTTAAGGCTTCCTAGGGTCAGCGCTCCAGCAACACAGAGAAACCTAGTGTTACTTTGAAAAGAACCCAGTTCTTAGCAAACCACTAAATGTAATTTACTCTTACTTTAAGGACTCTGAAACACGGTACCCTGAAAGTTGTAAAGGGACTTTAATGAAAGTGAGAGTCAGAACCAAATATTTTAACAACTTTCACTCATGTCAGACAGTGCTGCCAAATCAGGGCCTTCATGGAAAACTGACATGCCTAAAGTTACAAGATAAGTTCAAGAGATTTTTCCTTCAAATTGAGTTCAGCTAAATATTTAAATATTGGCACACACATTTGAGGTCACTATCTAAACCACCCATATCTACAAAACTAGGTTGGAAATGTACTAAGACTTTTCTTTTGAGATTTCTGGTGTATTTGGCATCCACTTACAGCATCGTTCATCCAGGGATCTGAAAATCTTTTCAAAATCTCCTAAAAGTCTCACATCTTGTGAGGTAAGGAAATATTGCTTTTTCAGTTCCACATGTAATGATGATGATGATTATAATCATACTTAACACTTAGTTGCATTCTCAATATGCTCCACAAACATAAATTGCCAGTGGTTTGATGGGAAATTCAACAGGAAACGTGAGCATTAGAGTGACAGAGAGGTTACAATGACAACCTATAGAATAGAAATTGGGAGACAGTAGCAGAAATGGAGGGTAAAGCACAAAAATCCTAACTCCTAACCCACTGGTCTAATGCCTCTTAAATGTTTTCTGCCTGAGAAGAGAAAGTTTGCTAGTAGGGGTGTGCGAAGTGGGCAGTATTTGATTCAGATTCAGATTTGGCCCGATTCAGAGGACAGTGATTTGATTCGCTGATTCAGATCACTGTCCCAATTCACTTTGGCCAAATCTGAATCTGAAGATTCAATCCTGATTCAGAGAACCAGCGATTTAGCCATAGACACAACTTTAACATACCTCAAGGTACCAGGCACAGCTCATGAATGCCAAGATGGTAGGGCAGATGAAACATTCCACAGGAGCACAGCCCCCCCGCCTCCAGTGCCCCCCCCACTCGGTGATCAGCCGCAGGGGAACCCTGGGTGCCCCCACATACCCAGGGGCACCAGTCGCCAAGCCAGAGGAGGACCCCTGCGTGCTCAGTGGCGGACCTGGAATTGGACTGGAAGTACTTCTGGTCCACTACCAGGTCCACTGCCAAGTGTTCAGGGGACCCCCCATGCTCCCATGGGACGCGCCATCTGCCCCAACATCTCAGCATTCACGAGCCACACCTGGTACCTCAAAGTATATAGAAACAACATATAAAGTTGTGTTTATGGCTAAATTGTCGAATCTCTCTGAATTGAATCAGAGGCTTCCAATTCAATTTGGAGAGATTAATGGGTCTCCTGATTCTATTCAAATTCAGAGATTCGGCCACCGAATCTCCTCTGAATCGAATCAGCAACCAAAGCTTCGCACAGCCCTAACTAGCTGTGTTAGTCTGAAGCAGGCAGAATGTAGGGCAGGGTGGCTGGCACTTTAGGGCACTTTTACATGTGCTCCAATGCTTTCCGATTAGAAAGTGTCAGAGCACTAATCAGACCACTCCAGCATGCTTCTGTGTCTCGTGTATAAATCATCCCGGATTTCAAAATGGCAGTAGGGCACTTTAACTAAAGCTCATCAAATGAGCTTTAGTTAAAGCACCCTTGCAGCCATTTTGAAATGTGGGATGCTGAATACATGAGATGCTGCGGGTATTTTAATTAGAGCAGCTCTTGAGAGCCACTCCAATTAAAACTCCCACACCGGGGAGCATGTGTATAGGCACCGTTAGAAAAGAAGTCATTCAGAATTACATCAGCTTTTGTAGGCAACATAGCATCTGATGAAGTAGGCTATTGCCTATGAAAGCTTATGCATTTCTGGATGAGTTAGTCTCTGAGGTGCCACCCTGCCCTGCCCTAGAAGGTCAGGTTAGCATAGAAGACAACACTGCAAAATTTGCTAGGGATTCTTTGCCTGCTACAGATAGCCACAGTTCTGCGCACTCCTGCCACATTTTCTCCAGGTAGCTGTCTCTGTTCTCCACCTGATACGAACGTGCAGATAGCCTTCACTCGTTTTGTGTGGAGTGTCCTTATCTCTCTTCATTATGCTTATTCAGAATTTTTTTTCTGTTTTATCTTTAAATCTCACCTTTCCAAATAGAGCTGTAACAGAAGGAAATTTCTTTTCAGTTAGCGCATCAACTTTACAATTCCTTGATGGTATCATTCCTGAAAAAAAAAATTTGCCCACATTTTTGGACTTTGGTTTACTTGTTTTAGGTCATCCTTAAAGGAACCAAAACTCTATGCATTAAACTCTGGTTAATTCACCTATACTTTTCCCCTATAATTTAATTCATTGTTGTACTTATTCTCCATCAGTTTCCCCCCACAACTTCCACTAATTGATCATTTCTGGAGGATTCAATATAATTTTCATTCCCACTGGAGTGGGAAGTTAACCAGAGTTTACCAAACATTCAAACAATACTCCAGATTTCTTTCTTTCAGCTGGTTACTTGCTTACGTCTTTAATGCAGGAAGTAAAAATTTTCCACCGCAAGTAAGCAGGTTCACTGACCACTGAAAGGTATCTCATTTCCATGGGATTATGCTCTGCATCAGGACAAATAATGATATCACTTCCTGAGCTCGCTCCTCTGGTTTTCAACTAAACAAAATTCTGAGCACTCTACACATGCTCCTCTCAAAAAAAAACCCCAAAAGTAATGCCACACAAAACACCACCAAGTTCTCATATAAAACAAAAAACTTTTAGATAAAAACTATAGAGCCTCTGAATGGGGTAGAGGTCACATGTGAAGTCACAGATTCTATAGGGAAGGTCAGTCTCTGGAACAACTGGTTGATGGGAGAGATTTTTTCAATACCTGGTATTCTGAAGAGCTGGAATTAACTGGTGCTGTACCTCAGCACCAGTGAGAGCATGGAAAGGTGGTTTTACACCAGCCATGTGCTATCCAAATCACAGACTGCTTTAGGGGACTAAATAATGTCTTCTCTGCATAGTAGACTCAGAGGCCACTCTATTTTATATCTGCTTTGCCACCCAGAATGCATGTAGCACAGAGCATTACAAGCATGCTCTAACATACTCCTGATGTATTTTTAGCCTTTTCAGGTCCACCCCTCACTTGTGAAAATGGGAGCAAAATGGACTTTTATTTCAGCCCTATAACGTTCTTGCACCAAGATAATTTTCTTAGGGACATTATAGCTTTTATTTTGTCCCCAGTGCACTACCCGGGTCGAGGCAAAAATGCAACCCATAGGCTTTGCAATTTATTTCAAGCACAGGCATTAGTGGTTAGTTTCAGACAGGGCTCCCTATGGCTCTAAGAGATACATATTTAAGGAGCACCAATGATTTGCTGTAACATTTTTGCTGAACCAATAAATCTTTAGTAGGCATCCAACCTTGCACTCTGAACTCATCCTGTAACCTATTTTGGAAATAGACCTGAACCAAAATTTCTGATTCTCCACCAAACACAGCATCTAAATTTCATTTCAGAGTAGAATTTCCCAGATTCTCTAATACTGGGGTTGTCAACTGGGAGTACTCTGAAAGGTCCCAGGGGGTATGCAGAGGTGGGCAGGAACAGAGCGCCACCAGCCCACACTGCTGCCTCACAGGAGCAGGGCTGGGGTGGGGCAAGAACAGGGCCGCACAAATGCTGCACTGCTGCCACTCGCCATGCCCCCGTTCCATGTCCAGCCACTCACCACCCCACACCGTGCTCCATGTCTGTCTGCTCACCACCACCCCTCCCTAAAAAGGGGGCTGCCAGGGGCACACTTTTTAAAAACAGTTGAAAAACCCCTGCTCTAATAGATCATTTAAAAAAAAAAATCTAATTTTGAGAAATAATCCCTTTAGTAGCTCTGGCCAATGAAAAGAGCAGTGGTCCATGAGAGATTCAATAATCAGATGTAAATTACCTTTTGCAAAGGGTCCAAGCTCCTGTAAGGCAGATAATATGTAATTACTCTGCTAGTTAAGACCCTAAGAGCTCCACATCAATTGTTTTGCCCCCAGTATACAGTCCTAGCCTTAATTAGGTCTCCTGGGGTAAACAGGAGTTACTTGGGACAGCATTTTAACATATAGTATGGGACTCTAGCAAAAGCAGCTTTGAGACTAAAAGACACCAAGTGCAAATGACACTGTCTATGAAATTGTCAACGTTCTTAGAAATATTTTATCTCTTTCTCACTAAGAAAAATATACCTGATAACACTGGGAAATGTATAAAGTCCATCAAGAATTAAAGAGTCATCTTTTAATACCACTGGTCCCTAGAGGAATTTTACACATTGTAAATATTGTAGATAATTCTTTTTAAAAAAGATAAACTACTATACGGGTTTGTATCATTCACTTTCTCAACTTATTGAGGAGTAGAATAAACAGTGTATTCCACAGCATTTTTCTTCACATTGTGAAAGATATACTTCCTGCCTTCTTTTCCACCTGGTCATATTTATAACAAGGAAGAGCAAGTTAAATAGAGAAATATATTACAAGATTTTGCTTCCCTACAGAATTTTCTGCGATAAGTACTGGGTAAAAATGGGGTTTACAATGAAATACCATGGATGGAAACAGATATTGCCTTATGTCACATTTGTGCCACCATAAAGTCCTTCCCCACTCAGCCAGATCCATGCCCCATGATTGCAAGAGATAGTTCTGGCTGAATGGGGAAAATGGGGAGATCACATTGCCCTTGCCCTGTACCATCAAAGGTAGGACAAGGAGCAATGTGTGTTTTGCCCAGTTAAGTGGATCCACTGTCCTGCTGAGGCATCTCTTTAGTATGAGGAATGATTACTAACATCAGACAAGGTTAACTTTTGTCTCATCTCATGATTTGGTAAATAATCTACTTGTGTCATTCTGAATTCTACATGGCAGGAAATTCAGCCGTATCTGACACAACACACAGGATATATAGCATTATGTAATCCCATTGTAAAATTTATCATGGGGACCTATTTCTCTGTTGAAAAAGTAGCTACTATTTCTGTGTAAAGGTGATACTTTGTTGAACCAGAAATGTTTTGCAAAAACATCTTGGATTCAATAAACTATCATCAAACCACAGAAAGAATTCCAAAGGAACCCAACCTGCCAGTCAGGTCTACTTAGGAAACCTGCTTTGTTTCCTGAGACAGCCTTAACTTTCAGGGAGAGAAGTTCTAGGGCAGTGGTTCTCAACCTTTTTTGTACCAGGACCCATTTGTAAACGTTGATGGCCAGTCCCGACCCAGTGCCCCTCACTCCTGACCCGCTGCCTCCCACCACCAGGCCCCAGCCCCCCAGTGTGTGGGGCAAGGGGCTGGGTGTGTGGCTCATGGGACTCTGCCAGCCTGCAAAGGAAAAGCCACAGTCTCCCACATTTTTCTCCTTTAAAGAATAATTTTTAAGTTTGTTTGCAACCCTTTCATATGTTCTTGTGACCCACTTTGGTCATGACTCACAGGTGGAGAAACGCTGCTCTAGGGCATCCCCCTAATACAATGTGTCCCAGGTCAGAGGCCCCAAATTTCTAGGGTTTCTTATTCCAGAGAAATCAGTCATTTGGACTGCTCTAAGTCAGGGGCCTCAGGGTTCCCAGGCTGTTGAGCTGGCTAGGACTCTCAAAGCCCTGGGAACTCTGGTTCTTACTGAAGCTTGACTCCCCTCTCTGCTGCAGGGACTTGAAAGCACTAAGAACCTACCTTAAGCCAGAGGTCGCAGACCTTGTCAATTCCTTGCCACATAGTCAAGAAAATTTGGGGGCTCCTTGAACTTTCTGGCCTTGCACCAGACAGGTAGGAACTTGACAGCCTAACAAAAGATTGGCTCAAGAGCTGAGGCTCCTGGCTCTGCCACAATGTGTATAGAAGCCATTAAAGTCCTAATTTGACCTGTGCCTCTGGAGACTTTCACATTCCTGGCTGCAGATCCAGAAGCATGGAGGTGCCAGGATGATCCACACCTCCATAATGCAGGCTGCTGCATCATCAGAGCCATGGGTTTTCAGATAACCGGGTCCCAGTGCTGCCAGTCTCCCTTGCGCATAGCCCTGCAGGGGGCACAGACCTGAGGAGCCACAGTATTTGTTGATTTACGTTGATGGTCTTAACAATTTCATTGCTGCTGGGGTCTAGAAAGCATATTTCACTTCAGTATTCTTTCAGCATTATGTAAATCTGGTTTTGTCCAGAATCAGAATGAAACCAAATTGTGGAATATCAAAATTTCTCACAAACTGGAAATCCCAAATTCTGGCCAGCTGTAATCTTGGATATGGTTGTAGAGTCCACAGGATTGTAGCAAAAGCCTGAAATAGTGTGTCTAAGCCTTGCAAGTTGTAAATATTTAGTAAACATGGTTATCTGGACCCCAACATGCCTTATGGCTCCTTCCTAGTATGTTTCTTGTGAAAAGACCACAAGATGTAGTAGAGGTTTAAAAATTACAAAATCTTATTTGCATGATCTAGTAGTAACAGGAGGCTCAGGAAATAGCAATCTTAGATAAAACCTTTCTAAGGTCAAAGAAATGCACACAGGTGCACTGCAAAATTCAAGTACTTCAGACAGTCATTTAAATCTCTGTTGTTTCACCACCTAGTAACACTGACAAAAACAGTCTGCAGCAGTATCTTCAGTCATGTGCAAGTGAAAGAACTGACCCACTAGTCCAAAGGACTTTCAATGGCCTTTCAATTAGCCCTGAAGAAAGCATATCAAAAACAGTGCAGCTACAACTTTAATCGTTCTCACCTGAAGGAAATCTGGTGTACAGTAGTGGACCCTTCTGTCACACACCAGCTCTAAGGGATGAATTTGAACTGACAACTTGGAAGGCTCTGGACAATCACTGTAAAGAAGTGAGAGAGAGAAATGTTTAGCAAGGATGAAGTCTTTTTTATGAAGAATGCAAATACCATTTCAATGCATTATTTTTTTTGGAAAAAAGAAGCGTCTTAGTAACATACACTATTGAGATTTTTTAAAACCGAACAAGGTATTACCAAAGAAATTAAAAGAAAAGTCTGTAATCCCTGTAACAACTTGGATACTACTACTGGCAGAATGGTTAAGATAATCTCATTTCAAAGAGAACAATTATTTAGGCTGTCCTCAAAGCATAGATTGATTCATAGATTTATAGATTGTAAAGCTGGAGGGGACCTTGGAAGACCATCAGGTCCAGTCCCCTGCACCAGGCAGGAAAAGGCACATAAGTTCAAGCAGGCATATAAGTTCAAGCAATGATACCAGAGAACATACAACAACAATGAACTCTATTAGAACAGCAGACCAGTCTTCTAGGATGATGGTGGAAACCCATCATTTGAGTAATTCAAAACTGAACACAACAAATTTAGAAAGCCTCTGACAGAAAATGATACTGTGCTTGTGAGCAGAAATAAAGAAAATGACCTGGAAGGGAGATTTTGAAAGACATGAAAGAAAGAGTTATGCAGCCCATACCTATTAGAAATCGGTGGCATCTGTACAACTAATTCCTTTTGAAAATCCGTGCTTTTGAAAATCTCCTCTCTAAGAAGCATTTCTCTTTGTCAGTCTGTAGGACTACCATGTTCATCTTACATAAAATTCTACTAAATGATGACTTCTATCAACTTTGATACAAAGTATGCATCCAGCAAAGCAGTTCTAAAAGACCTTTGTGTACCCAGATGGCTCTATACCATAGAAAATACTACACATTTTCAAAGAGCATACCTGGAACACCATCTAAGGGCTCCTATATATGTGCAGGGAGGATGATCTGATGCGCTGTAATTACAGCACATGGGAGCAGACTCCAGAGTCACATGTATTAGTGTCCCCACACTGAAAATTGGCAGCAGGGGCACTTTAACGCTCATTCAACAAGCCTTAAAGCACCCCCACCGCCATTTTTCAACACCCTTGGAGCCACTCTAATTAAAGCACC